TATAAATACTGTTCAGTTTCTTGCACAGACCGATCGTTTCGTGTCTTTACACATCAATGTATCGTCACGAGCCGCAGGGTTTAATTTGGTTTTGTTTGTGTATGTTTTTTTGACTCTCAAAGCCGTGATTCCCGTTCACTTCCATTATATGACTGACAGACTGCAACGGTTTGAGTTAAACATTTTCGTTTGTGTTCTACTGAAGAAACAAAGTCACCTACATCTTGGATGCCCTGGGGGTAAGCAGATAAACATCACATTATCATTTTTGGGTGAACTATCCCTTTCATAAAACAAAAAACATGCAATACTGAAGAATTAACGGTTTAACGTGTGTTTGGGAACACAATGGGGACTATGTTTACTTTAAATACACATCTGCATCATTTCCAACAGTTTTGTGCACAGATTTAGTGTAATATAAATTATTATAATTTTCATAATTCATATAATTTTTACAGTACATTTTAACTTACAACAAAAATACATTTTTTTCATAATTAAGAGTTATAATCAGCAATATTAATAAAATTATATATATATATTTAACTAAAACTAAAAACATGTATTTATATAATAATATATTAATTAAAATGATAATTTATCTAGTAGTAAACAAACTATAAATTATTAAAACAATAAATACAAAAATTATTTACTATGTTAAATTATGTTCTTTAAACACAGCTTTTTTTTTTTAACCATTTTAAATTTAAAAACTACTACTACTAAAATAATAAAAATAACAGTTCAAATCAAAATATGTAACAAAATAATCACAACTTAATGTTTAGGTACTTCAAGAAAATAAGAGGTATGCCTGACAATAAAAGTTTGGGAATCCCTGGACTAGAATTTGAATGCATTTGCACACTGAAAAAAACGATTATTTGAAGAAATAAAAACATTGGTGTATGTTTTACAAGAAAACATGATTTCAGCTTTTCTACTTCAAATTTTCATATTGAATTCAATGTGCGACTTACTAGGGCTGGGTATCGATTCAGTGAAATAAATCCCGGAAAAGATCGATTCGTGGCTTTTGAGAATCGATATCGAATCGACGTCATTTAAAAAAACAATTAATCGAAGAATCGATTTTTTTTGCCCAGCCCTATGACTTACCGTTTCTTTGTAATTACTTGTGAAATTTCCTAGCAAATTCTGAGTAAGAAGGGTTTTAAAGTAAATCCTACAACTTTCTTTTCCAGTGTGAATGTAACAAATTCCACCTCGTCATGTGTTTGAACGCACCAGCTGCTGAGGTTCAGAGGTCTGGCTGAGGGGCAAGTTCAGGACGGCCGTGGGCTCGTGGGTGTAGAGACCCACAGAAAACTCTCCTTTCTGAGCGGGTTTGAGGAGCTGCGTCAGCGCATGGAGCGTGTGGGGCATGATGGGTCCCGTCACCTCCAGACTGCACACGTCCTGATAGCCCATTCTCACCTGAGTCTTCACATTCACAGTCCGGGCCTGAATCGTTTTCATTCGCAGCAGAAGAGACACACAGACAAATCGCTTTCATTAGAAAAATACTTGATGCAATCTGGGTCCAGTAATAGCCTCAATATACTGATGCTGGTAAAAAGTAAATATACTAAATATACCTCAATATACTGATGGTGGAAAAAAAAAAAATATACTAAATATAATTAAACAACATTATAATAAAATAAAATTAAAAGTGATAAAAAGTATAATAAAATGCAATAAATATAAATAAAACTTAAAAAAACAAAAAACAAATATAGAATACAATAAAATGTAAAAGTGAAATGCAATAAATAAAATAAAAATAAAAAAATGCAACAAAATATAAAATTCAAAATGAAAAAAGGAAAATAAAATGCAATAAATATTTAAAATAAAACAATACAATATAAAAGTAAAATGCAATAAATAAATTTAAAAATGAAAAAATGAAAATAAAATGCAATAAATATAAATAAAACTAAAATACAATAAAATTAAAAATAAAAACAATACGATATAAAAGTAAAATACGACAAATAAAATTAAAACGAAAAAAAAAAATACAATGCAATGCAACAAAGTAAATTTAAATACAATAAATAATGCAAAAGTGAAAAATGAAAAGCAATAAAATATTACAATTACAAAACAATAAATAAAAAAATGACAAAATGCAATCATTGCAACATTGGTTTGTGGGGGTGGAGTTAGGGGGGGTGCCCGAAGCGTAAATCCTTATAAGGGAAAATAACGATATAACGATTCCTAACACCATGTCAACACCGGATGCGAGCGGCGCGGTGCGACGCGACAAAGTGCTATAGAACCACTGATCTATAATAGAGATTCATTATATACAGATCAGTCAATAGTAGGGGTGTAACGGTACACGTATTCGTACACAACCGTTTCGGTACGGGTCTTTCGGTTCGGTACGCATGTGAACCGAACGAATAGTTTTTTTTTTCTCCGGAAATTCAAATAATAAATGGCGTTTTGACAGTCTTTGATGTGGCATGACAGATCGCTGTATAAACACCTTGGAGAGCCGCTTCTGGGACGGTTCAGAAACGTGCTGGTATATAATCCCAACACAAGCATTGACTAGAGATTATCAAAACTTAATTTTTGATTAGTAATATGCATTGCTAAGAACTTCATCTGGACATCTTTAAAGGCGATTTTCTCAATATTTAGATTTTTTTGCACCCTCAGATTCCAGATTTTCAAATAGTTGCATCTTCGCCAAATATTATATTAAGCTTTCGGACGATGTATAAATCTCAATTTTGAAAAATTGACCCTTATGACTGGTTTTGTGGTCCAGGGTCACACATGTGAAAACATCAGTCTAAATCAGTGATAAAAGGAAATATAAACGCCTTTGAATGCTAAGAATGTGACAGTACCACAAATCTAGAACATCCAGAAGGTGAAACACGAGGCCTCGTACCTTGAGCGTGTGCAGTGTGGCCCCTCTGAAGGCTGTAGGAGCCAGTAGAGTTGGAGGAAGCCCCGCCTGAGAACCGGCTCCAGCCACCAAACTCTTACAGTTAATGAGGAAGTTGAGCAGCGTGAAGGTGTTCGAACCCACCACCAACACCACAGACTCTGGTCTGTGGTCCAAACGCACCTCTCTGTGCTCCTTACGACTGCGGCACGACTTAAGGAACGAGATCAGGTGGATTGAGCTTTGGGCTGTTTCACATATAAAAACATGTCATGTTCCATGTAGGGTTATAATACTTAAATACTTAATAAAACTAAAATCAAAACTAACACCATTAAAAAAAAAAAAAAAAAAAAACATTTTTGTTACTTGACTTCATGGCGATCTCAGAAGGTATACAATTAACAAAAAGTTATATTATAGAAGTTTCAGGTCTACACTAGACAAAAATTCTAAAATACATTCAGGTGATCTATTTTTAAACAAATCAGTTAAACACACCTCTGAATAAAACTGTTGTCTATTTACATAAAAAATAGTACAATCCAATAAAATGTCCACTAAAATAATTTATTTAAACATTAACTTATTTGAATTCAGCTTCAAATATCACGTTTTTGTTCAGCTTAACTTTAAGTACTAAAATATCAAACCAAAATTAAATTAATAAATAAAAATTAATAAAAAAATTTACACATTAAAAAAAAATGAAAACAAATCAAAAAACAAAAATGATAATCTTTAACTAAAATTAATTTAATTAATAATTTTTTTTAATCGAATTAAAAAATATAAACAATTAGATACTTCAGATTTCAAAACTAAAGAAAGCACTGCACAAAACACATGCAGATTGTAAAGGATACAGTTTGATAGAAATGGCATCTGGTTTCTTGATCTTGTCTTGGACGCCCATCTCCTTCAGCCAGGAAAATCCACCATCGTCATCATCTTCATCATCCTCCTCCTCGTTTTCACTGTGCTCACTTGATCTGTCAAAGCAAAGATGAGGAACGCACTGATGAGCACTGAAAGCAGATCCGCATCCCATCAGCGGAGAGCGGTCCTGTACTCACACAGACTCCTCGCTCTCACTGCGCTCTCTGCTCTTCCTCGTCTCCGCCAGCAGAGGGAGAGAGAACTCTATTCCTGAACACAAACATGCATCCACAGCTGCTCACAAGACTACTTCAGAAAACAATAAAACATCACTCCAGGCTGTGCATTACAGTGACTTCAGCACAGCTAAAATCACTGCAACTACAACTAATTCATTAATGTTTTATTAAATTGCCCCTATTATGGATTTTTGAAAATGACCTTTCATGCAGTGTGTAATACAGCTCTAAGTGAATGAAAACATCCTGCAAAGTTTTAAATCCGAAAGTGCACCGTGTATAAAGTTATTGTCTCTCAAAAGAAAGAGTCGACTCTGAATAATTTAAGCGAGTCGTTTTTAAACCGAATCCCAAGCCGTTTCATGTTGACGTCAACATGAAACATTAGCATATTGCTCGTCCACTTGTTGGTCTTTCCCGTTGGTCTGAATGAAAATGCAAATTTATTCTTTGCCACTAGGTGCTGCTTTTGGAGCGGTAAAAATAGCGGTTTCCCCGGTAACGCATGATGAAATGAAAATGAGACCAATCGACCAATCACCGCCGATTAGCGTCACGCAAAGGAGGGGTTTGGAAAAATGAATCATTGGGCGAATCGTTTGGGAGTCATTGAGCAAGTAAGGTAAAAATAAATGCATATTATAACACAATGAAAGTGTTTTTTGACCTTGCATGCATGTCAACATGTTGGGGACTCCCAAAACCAAAATCTGAACCTTTCATAACCCATAATAGGGGCACTTTAAAACCATTTCAAGGGTGCAATGAAATTTTTTCAAATAAGGTTCAATGTATTTTATTGTCATTCTATACAAATAATGAAGAATTATTTGAGAAATTATTCTCTAGCATCATATCACACAGAAACTTCACCGCAACCTGTCAAAATAAAAGTCCAGTTCAACAATTAACAGATATATTACTCTTGTATTACTTTTGTACAGTATAATGTACATCTTTATATATTCTATTTTCTGGCAAACTGAAATATAATTGAATGATGAAAATAAATATTACAACCAGATTAACCACTTAATTGTAATTCAATTATTATTAAAACTTTTTTAAAGGAATATTCACACAATTTTTCTTCCATGTATTAATTTTAACAGTAAACCTCTGTTTGTTTGGCAAAAAATAAAAGGGTTTAGTTTTCATTTGATTAAAAAAAAAAAAGTTTAATGCCTTCATTTGATTATCAGGAAAATTAAAACACAAGAATTTCTTAAAAAAAAAAAAAAGATTGTAGGGCCCTACTGTTCAAAATGTTGAATAATTTAGAGTTTTTGACTTTTTTTTTCTCACTGAAATAAATGTTTTTGTTATTACAGAGAGAGTAAAGTACCAAAAAAAGGTACACCGAATTTCAGGAACAGATACTGGTACTGTACCGGTTAAAACGTGAACAGTACCCAGCCCTAGCTCTTACCCTCCGCTTTCATGGCCTCGCGCAGCCCTCTAGTGGTGGGGGACAGCAGTGCGCTGAGGCCTTTAGCGCCGCTCAGACCGGCCGCCCTGAAGAGCACCGTGAACTGATACGAGCACAGATAGAAATACGGACAGAGTCGAGCCTTCAGCAGACTGTAGAGAGACGTCAGACTCACAGACCTACAACACACACAAAGCCTCAGTCAGGAACACGCATGCCAGCTAGGGCTGCACAATTAATCGAATTTCTAATCGCGATTACAATTATGGATGCCACAATTACGTAATCGTTCAAAGCGGCAATTAATCGTTCAAAGTCCACTTATGTTATTCTGCGTGCTTAAGATGTGTTTTTTTTCTTTCTATATGTTACCTTAAGGGTTTTCCCATTATTTTAATTTTAGTTTTAGTATACCATTATAATACCATTCATATATATATTACATTGTAGCAAAGTGTAATTTCTTCAGTGTTGTCACATGAAAAGATATAATAAAATATTTACAAAAATGTGAGGGGTGTACTCACTTCTGTGAGATACTGTATAGTATATCAGTCTGGTGAGTAAACTAAAAAATTAGAAAAATTAAAAATAGCGCTCAATAATTGCCAATCCATCCTATTTTGGGTACAAATCGGAAAAAATAATACCTCTCTCAAAAGAACTGTTAAGCAGACATATAATAATCCACGCTTTTTCCAGTGTGCAGGTTTACACGAGTTTTTTGTTGTTAATTTGTTGCGATAAAACTCTATCAGAACCAAACCGACAACTGTGGTTAAAAACCGAGGTACATATTGAACCGTGGACTAACTGTATTGTTGCATCCCAAGTAAACACCGTTTAAAAAAATAAAATAAAATAAGTCATATAAAATCATAAAAACAAAAATACAATATTTTTTAAATGTTATATAAAAATAGAACTAGGGATGTAACGATTCACTCAACTCACGATTCGATTCACAATTTATTTATTTTTTTTACAAAATGAGATTTAAGACAAATTATAAATAAATGTGTCCTTTTATTATTGCATTGGACAAAATGCTGCATGTTTCTTTGTGAAATTGAAATATAACACTATAATAATACAGTATACTAACATAGCACTTGCATATTATTGCTCTTTTGTTGGGTTTGATTGCTTCTATCGTCCTCATTTGTATGTCGTTTTGGATAAAAGCATCTGCTAAATGACAACATTTTAATATAATGTAAATGTAAATAAAACTAAATTGAAATTTTACAAAGCAGCGCTGCGCTTATGAACAGCAATGATACAGCGTTTCCTTGGTTACCGCTGTAAACAAAGCAGCGCTGCGCTTATGAACAGCAATGATACAGCGTTTCCTTGGTTACCGCTGTAAACAAAGCAGAGCTGCGCTTATGAACAGCAATGATACAGCGTTTCCTTGGTTACCGCTGTAAACAAAGCAGAGCTGCGCTTATGAACAGCAATGATACAGCGTTTCCTTGGTTACCGCTGTAAACAAAGCAGAGCTGCGCTTATGAACAGCAATGATACAGTGTTTCCTTGGTTACCGCTGTAAACAAAGCAGAGCTGCGCTTATGAACAGCAGTGATACAGTGTTTCCTTGGTTACCTCTGTAAACAAAGCAGCGCTGCACTTATGAACTTTAATATGCATTATACAGAGGCAAGATGAAAAGAAAAAATACCATCTAAACTTTTCTAAAGACAGTAAGTTCCCCTCAGACATGCATTCATATAAACTCCTACCCCTAAATGAATCGCGATTTGTTTAGCATCTCAACCGATTTGAATCGTCACATATTTGAATCGATTTTCAACCGGCTCGCGGTTAATCGTTACCGGTAGGCTGACCTCTACTAGTAGTTTGAGATTATCTGCAGAAAATACCCTTCCCTATAACTGTGTCCTCACCTGTATATGAGCAGGTAAGCTGGAGAACTCGGCCCTGCAGTGAGAGCTCAAGCCCTGCGCCTCCTCCTGCGCCTTCAGATGCTCGGCCCAGGAGAACGACTGAGGAGACGTGAACAACAGACGCGTTTTCAGAGACCAATCGGCAGGGAACTCCAGACACACTTCAGCTGGAGCCGCGTCACAAACCGCCTCTGGACCCTAGAGACAAACACACGTCAGTGAACCTCTCATCAACACGGATCAACCAGGACAGAAATCATGAGGAACTGAGACTGACACCTTCAGCACTGCAGCGGATCTCTCCGGCTCAAACAGATCCTCCTCAAACAAACCCGCATCTTCAGACAGAGAAACAGGCGTCTGCAGACAGATCACAACACAATTAGCACATGCACATCCGTCCTGTAAACATGCCAAAAAAAAAAATATTAATTTTTTATAATGCCGATAACCAATATATTATACAGCAGCTTTCACAGTAAATGTCTGAGTTAGAAATGCATGCTTCTGATCTTAAACAAAATCTCACATCGAAACTTTTTATTTTAAGAAATTATAAACAGCTGAGTTAAAGATAACATTATTATTATTATTATTATTATTATTATGAGTAAATATGAATTATGTCATGACCCCAATGAGCCCACTACTTAAAATTATAAATAAATATTAAACTAATAAACTACAAACACTAACATTATATATACACACAAAACCAATAAAACATGAATATCAAAACTTTTTTAATCTAATATATATAAAAAAAATCTAAACATTTTAATATTATAAAAAGTGCACCTTATATAATTATCAAAATGACAAAAACAATACTAAAATGATTTTTAAAAATCAAAACTATGTACAGAAGCAATTATGAATAATATGATTATATAAAGGTCTACAGAAAAATATTTTTACCCAAAAAATGCAAATATACTTATATATATATATATATATTAAATAATAATAACTAAAGTAAGAATAATATATTTAATATATTTTCACTGAACCTAAAAATAAAATACAATTTGATGCTAAATAAAAAATAATAAATCTATTTTAAAACTACAAATAATAAAACTATATGAATTAACATTTTAAAATTATATAAAACAGTACACAGCATATTAAAAAAAAAATATGAAAATATAAATATTTTATATCAAACATAATAAAAATAGCATTCTATTTATATTTTATTTATATACATGTCAAAAGTTATGTTGTATTTATTTACATCTAGGCCTATATTGAAATGCCATGTTAATATCATGGTAAATGAATGTCAGTGTCAGTGTGTGTAACCCTAACCC